GGAGTTGATTAGGCAAGACATGGTGCTGACCGAGGACATGACCCTTGATAAGAAGGTATGGAGGTCGAGGATTAGGGTAGTAGAGTAGGTAGTCTAAAGTGTTCATAACAATAGTATTGGCACGCAGCTCGCTTTCTGTTGGTAGTATGTTTTTATGACTAACCGTTGTTTTCTTTCATTGTTGATCACCTTAATATCTTGTTGTTTTTATTCTGCTTTTATATGGCTTTTTGGTACTGTCCCTTCTTGTGTATATTTTCATTAATATGGTGCTTATGCTTTCCTGAGCCGAGGGTCTATTGGAAATAGCCTCTCTATCCTCACAAGGTAGGGGTAAGGTCTGGATACACACTACCCTCCCCAGACCCCATTGTGTGAAATAATACTGGGTATGCTGTTGTTATTCTTAATAATATTTTCTAAATTTTAATGAATAAATATACTTTATATTTTAAAAAAGAAAAATGAAAATGAATTTTTTTTAAAAGAAACAAAGAAATTAACTAACCTAAACCAACCCTCACCCATGTTTGAGTAGTTAATTTTAGGTAGTTAATTTCTTTGTAACTTTATTCTTTTCTACTTTCATTTTCTTTTGAATATCCAAATTTGTTGAAGCTTTGTCCTAAAAGTTGACACTTGTTAAATTTTTGTTGTTACACTTCGTATCATCACATTAATTTGCTTCTCCTATATAGTATAGATATCTTTAGTAATCAAAGATCTTGAAAAGTGCTTTTTAAAATGGAAATTTGTAAAAGCAAGAAATTTATAGAGAGTCAAGTGAAATAAGTCATTTAAGACACAAATTTTCAACATTCCTTAAAGCAAGACTTCTCACTTAAGTTTTACTCCTATAAATTAAAAACGTTCCTTTAATACAATCAAGAAAGGCTGTTCAAAAGAAGTCCACACACACACAGAGAGTAGCAGTAGTAGAAGAAGAATGACGGACGCAAAGGTAGAGACGATATCAAGGTTAGCTCAATGGAGGATCGACAACTTCGGAGCATCCACTTACAAGCGATCCGACCCTTTTAAAATTGGTATCTGGAACTGGTAATTGTAAAACTTTACTTTTCCTCTTTCATTTTTTCAATTTTGTTTTTCTTCTGATGTTGAAGTTGTTGATTAATAAGGCACTTATCAATTGAAAAGAACCGGTATTTGTATATTCGGTTGTTTCCAGAACCATCTCGGCTTTCAAAAGAGCAGCTTCCTCCTCCCTTTGCTCGGTTTATGCTCCGTGTCACCACCACCGGCACCAACCGTAGACCTCACATATCTCCTGGTACCTTTTACTTCCTTCACGTTTTTTTTGGCTCTTCTGTGTTTTGATTGTGTATTTATGTAATGGTGTTTGGCTCAACATAAAAGGAAGACTTGAAATTTATGGTCTAAAACCAATTACTATAATATTTTGTGTGGCTATAAATGAACCAAAAACAAAAAGAGAAGCAATTCTTATGAAAAGTTTCTTTTTCTTTAGCTATTGATCTGTTTGATGGATGGTTAGATTCTTCAAATGTTTTTGGAAGAATGGCATATATCTGGCTACCATAGTCCATAGGCAGATGCAACCTATTAAATATGGGCTCAACTGTATCCAGCATTTATGCACGGAAAACACATATATATGTGAAAAGGCAGGTACAATTTCAAAAAAGAATAGTACTAAATTTTGAACCCTTCTGTTTCACAAGTACAGTGCCTTTAGTGCTAAGAACCTAAAAAATTGAACCCCTCAGGTTTGTTTCCTGATCGATCTGCCTCCGCTGGCTACATGTCATTCACTTGTTCTGTTCGCCTACAGAAAGAGAAAAAGCAAAAAAAGAACAAGGGTTATCCTCCTAGCATCTAAACTTACATATTGGCAGATTTCATACTAATTGAACTGATCGTGCTGCACATATTGATTTCTTTTCTCTTTTTCACTAAAATTTTCATGTAGCAGAAAGCTGGCTGGGCTAGGTCTTAATATTTTTCTCTCAAAATCTTAGCTTCTTTCTCTATTCACAAAAGGTCTGGTTGCAAGTCCTATGTTCTCTATTTTCCACGCAAGTGTAACTTATCTATAAATACCATGTCTATAACAGTGATCGTCAAATGACATCATGGTTATTTGCATTTACTATGGATTATTTGGTAATTGATCTGCACTCTGCGGAACGGCAAGAGACGAAGTTACTTGTATGGTGTTCAAATGTTCTCTTGGAAAGTCAACAAATGTCCATTCCTGTCCTCATGGAGGGATGGACGTGCTGACATTTTTACGTAATACTTTATCAAGTCAGTTGCCAGCTCATATCTGAAATGGAGCAGTATACATATACCTGGCTCTGAAGCTTGTGGTTTCTTTGGAAAGCAATTATTGGACTCATCTTATGTTTTTTTTCCCCGCATTCTAGTATATTAGGCAGCCTGTATTTTGGGGGATGAGTATGTACTGTCAATTACCACGACCTGTGTAATCTTCAGAGGATGGGTGTTATACTGCACACTGCATGCATCTTATGATGACTAATGGGGTATCTTAGGTAACTCAGACCAATGTAGATTATCCCTTGACCCTTCCTTGTTTTCAGTCAGGGAAGTCTTGTCATCAGATATTTTAACTATATACTCAGTCAACAGAAGGACTTAGCAGGAGCACAATTGGATGTTTAAGGTAAGCTGACACCTACAAATAGCCGAAGCACAAAGCCCAAAATACCAAGTCAAAAGGACCGTTAAGCACTGAAAAATGAGAGCAAGAACAGTTCAGTATTCTACACTTTCAGTGTCCTTAATGGTGCGGTGCACGTAAATTTCCCTTCCTTATATGGTCAAATATGTTTGTTTTATTGACCATAATTCATTTTAAAAGAAGACTTCCATCCCTACAAAGTGTCCGCCTTTTCTTGTAGTATAAGAACCTATGTCTAGACTGCCTTAGGCTATTAATATGCCAATAATTGCTAGCCTAACTGTTGTGTACTATTTAGCTTTTAGTTAAGGATTGTTATGATTTTTAGTCGCACAGTGAAGCAATATTCTTCAGCTGCATGTCCAGGCACATGAAATTGTAGACTCTTTTGCTTTCTTGCGTTTCTCTTTGTTGTCCAGACTAAAGAGCTTGCAACTAATGTACATGACACACGTTGAATTGCATTAACATCCTGCGTTAACCATATTTGACATGTTATGTTGCATATAATTCTGTGGTGGTCCGTGTTGCATGACACACGTTGAATTGCATTAACATCCTGCGTTAACCATATTTGACATGTTATGTTGCATATAATTCTGTGGTGGTCCATGTTGCAGTGTATGAGAGGCTGCTTCGAACAAGTGATGACTTTGTGTGGCCTATTGATTCTGCATTACAAGGTCGATTCATCATTGATGTTGAGTTCCTTGACCTGAAGATCTACTCACCAAATGTGAGTTTCTTGACATTCTACGGTGTGTGTATGCTTAATATGTATGAGATTGCTAATTGAAATGTTTCTTTGATAAAATACCTATCCAGTTGTAACAGATTGGGCTTGTGTTTAGGTGTATATAAATTGACTTCTTTGGTTGTTCCTCTCTGCAGATTTGAACTGAAAAAAATGATATTTCCCAATATACTGTTTTACAGAAAATGAAAAAGAATGAAAATTTCTTCTCAGCATTTACCAAAAAACGACCTTGATATGTTTTTGAACTCATGTTCCTTCACTTAGTAACCTGTGGTAATTGAAACTTTAGGGTGGAGAAGGCAAATCTATATGGCCCAATGACATTATTTTGCAAGCTTTAGCTACCCAAAGTACTCTCCGGTGTCTCTCTCGTATGCTTGACGAGTCCATCCATGCTGATGTTACCATAAATACCGCTGATGGATCAGTGAAAGCTCACAGGGCGATACTGTCTGCTAGTTCTCCTGTATTCCACAGCATGTTCCTCCACGATCTCAGGGAAAAAGAGTCCTCTATGATCGACATAGAAGACATGTCAACAGAATCATGCACAGCCCTTCTGAGTTATCTGTATGGGACCATAAAACAAGAGGATTTCTGGAAGCACCGGTTGGCTCTGCTGGGTGCGGCAAACAAGTATGACATTGCAGATTTGAAGAATGCTTGTGAGGAAAGTCTCCTAGAAGACATCAACTCGGGAAATGTCCTCGAAAGATTGCAAGAGGCTTGGCTTTACCAGCTAAATAAATTGAAGAAAGGTTGCTTAACGTATTTGTTTGATTTTGGCAAGATTTATGATGTTAGGGATGAAATAAACAACTTCTTCAGACAGGCAGATAGAGATCTGATGCTAGAGATGTTTCGAGAAGTGCTCACAGTTTGGAAGCCCGCGTAACCTGATATGAGGTTTTTGTCCATATCTGTATATAGATAACTCTAGCTATTACTAAGCTGTAGCTTTCTAAGAAAGCCATGTTGTGTCTTACACTATTATAATTCGGTGTAAATTTGTGGTACCATTAAGTATGCAACTGAGATGGTTAGTGTTCTGTGCTGGCATCTATTATGGGGATTTTTCTTGTGATTGTTGTGTTAACACTTAAAAGATTGGTAGAAACTATCAAAGTACAAAATCCTTAGTAGAGAGTCGATCTAAAATTGTCCAAAGGAGAGAACCTCGTGAAAGAGTTTATTTTGACCTTAGTAGTATGAAAGTGATATGGTCATCAACACTATAATCAGCAGCTTTCACAATGTTTTTGTATTAGGAAACTCTTGTCCAAGTATTCTATGCACCCTACCTCGGATCTTCTACTAGTGTGATTAGGAGTCGCGTTATTGCATAAAACTCAGCAGTATCTATAACTAAACTTTGAGCTCTGTATATTCTTGCCAAGACTCTAAAATGACATGAACTGTTTCATCAAGCTTTGCCAGTTGTTTGATTAGTACAACCACGTTAACCTGTAAAATTGCTATAACTATATCTACAATTCATCTATTAAAACAAAGAAGTAGCCTCTTCAGAAAAGTAAAATTAAAATAGAACAGAATATCTGAAAATTAGTAACTTTGGCTCCTACAGCCATTGTTATTGAGCAAGTTTGAATCTTTTATACAAAGAAAGTCCAGGTACTGCTAGATGACTTGTCTTGTTCCGTTAGTGCTTTCTGGTCATAATGTTCTTGTAATGCCATTTTCTTGTTTCTTTCTTTCTTGATTGGAACCATAAAAAAACAACAAAAGGGTGGGAATATTTTTGTTGTTTTGGGAAATTCCAACTCTTTGGAACATCACAAGAATAATATTTCAATACTGTCATACTGATACAACTTAGCTCAAACATCTAACAGAGGTCATAAAACCTCTGATTCCATTTTGGCAAAAACAATAACTCTTAATTGAGAAAGGAGATCAGAATTTATGCTATGACAAGGTAAAGAACCTAAGAAATTTTCTAAACCGCAGAAAGGGTCACAATAAGAATTATTGGTAGAGAGGGGTGTGAAAAAGGTTGCTCAAACTGTACACGAACCTACAAAAATTTGTGTACAGCTATATTTCTACAAGAGGACGTTAGGCTGAAATCATCTCTTCTTAGCCATGCACCAGGAACCAGATGCTCTGGTGTCTCCTCACAAATACAATTATGGAAGAGTTCCTCAGCAACTGAAGTTTGCCATGAACTGATGATGTAAGCTAGAGCGAAGAATCATCTTGAGAAGGAAAAACCTGTACTTGGAATAGTCCTAAATTTATTTGCTGAATGGTAGCTGCTTTGCTCCACTGTCTACAGCATCTCTCCATATTCTATACCTCACACCTAGCTTATCGTAAGACACTGGCAGGTTCCAAATATTGGCGCCATTGAGCATGCGATCCTGCTGGCCCAACACAAGCCGTAGGTCTTCATTTAAAACCTGTATAAAATTCCACAAAGAGATAAAGTTACAACATATCTTTCATTTTGCTCCTCTTTAGTTCTCTTTATAAAGGGAAATCTTTGCAGCATTATCCTCACGAAGAAGAGAGTGTGATAACATCTTTTAAAGAAGATGAAATTGTATTCGATATTTCTGGCAAGATTGTATTTCAGAAGTTGGTGTTCACAATTTTGTGGTTCTATTTTAGGCAATTGCATTTAACTTCCAAGAATCAAAGAGATAGCAAGTCGAAACCCTCGGGATCTTGAGCTTCTAGAGCTGTGTGATGGTAATCCTAGATATTCAAGCTTTGATTTTGTTTCATACTATCATTTTTCCAAGACTAACAGAATGCAGTTTTTCATAGAACAATCAGTCACTGACTGATGACTTCCATAAGATGTTAAATAGGCATTCTCAAAGCTTTTAGGACAGAATCTAACCTGTTTGGCAAAATGTCTCCAAACATATTGCATGAAAGGGATGTGTTTCAGCAGGGGAGCAAAATCCAGTGACATCCTATATAATAACCGTGTCTTGTGTCGTGATGCAGGTAAGCAAACATGAAGTTGGTGAAGGTGTGTAGAACACTGCTTGGTACTCTGCCCCTCCAATTTGCCTGGCTTTGAGATTCCAATGGTTGATAAAACCATACAAGGTGGTCTAAATTCCATATCTATTGGATAAGGATCCCAATATCCTTGCAGGCCAGATGCAGGAGTCAAAAACTTCACCAAGCTGAAATAAGGTAAATCATAAGCACAGATACCACACGATGCAAAACTTGAAAACACTCCTTATGTTTTTAAATTGATAAGTAAAATCAAGTCTTCTGGATAACTATATGAAAATAAACAGAAAAACAATCTATGTTGCTAATTACTAGACTTCTAGGTAATTAGCAACATATAACATAATAACAACTACCTTGGGACACTCCATCCTTTAGCAAAGGTTGATGTATGGGTGAAAGGAGCATGTGCAAGATCCAATAGATTGTCTAATAATAGCCCATGTTCCACTGGAAGTTCCATGACTATCTGTCAATTTCAACGACAACCGCTATAAGGCAAAAGTATTCAAGAATGAGCTGTAAGATATTTTTCCTATTAACAACTGAAAATCGAATGGCAGTGATTTCAAACCTCCGCATGGATTTGAAATCCAGAAGGCGGTAGTAAAGAAGGAAGGGTAGCTGCAGGGGGATCATTTCCTGGCCAAATCCATATCATTCCCTCTTGCTCAAAGCAGGGCAGTGCTTTGATCTTTACATTCTGTAATCGTGTTGATGGCATTTTCTCACACTTCCCATCAGTCGAATATTCCCACCCTAAATTCATGAAAAGAACAGTGTCAGCTATTTCAATGTTGTGTCCATATCCCAAATAGGAACTCTGAACTGAAAGTAAGATTCTTCTTAATTCTCACCGTGATAAGGGCACTGAATGCGTCCCTCTTTCACTGAGCCAAGATCAAGGGGGCAGGCTCTATGTGCACATGTATTCTGTACACATCCAGGTTTTCCATCATTCCCGCGAAAGATCACCCATGGTTGCTCAAAGCAATCAATCGGTAACTGAAACATAACAGTTTATGGTAATCAAATACAAGAGCCAGAAGAATTAACGCAAGACCATAAAAATCCTAGTCACATCCCTATCTGAATTTACAGAAGAGCATGTTAATTGGTTTTGGCATCATAATTTTGCATCTACATGATTTTGTATGTTGAATCAAATGCTGCCTCTCTTTATGCAAGTGAGATTATTTCAGATAATTGACTTACCATGGTGTCATCCTTAAGATCTGCGGAGAAAGCAACAGGGTACCAAAAGTTCTTCAAACGGGAACTGTAATCTTGGACAGGACCTGACACACTCAGGGTTCTTCGGGGTTGCTTGCTTTTAACAGTATCCAATAATGCTGTTGACGTACTGGCAGAGGAGGACGAGCAATCTGATTCTGCTGTGCTTCTCTCTTGCAGAAGCCTATCATTAACCAACTCTTCCATGTAAGCTAGCTTATCCAAAGCAGCAGAAACCCGGGCCTCAGATATATGTACCTGTTGTATTGATACGTCAGATATAGAACTTTATACTTATGAAAATAAGCAAGATTATATAACTATCCATTTATATTTAAGAGGACTTGTTTCAATAAGTTTGACATATCAAAGGCAAATAGCCCTGAATATCCACTGGTGTTGAAAACTAGAAAATAGAAAATGCAATTTGTATCCAAATATCATTTTGATAGGATAAGAATTTTTCCATACCTGGTTGTGGGCCTGAGAAAGCTCTCCTTGCAACTCTGCGAGTTCCTTTTTCATGGTTCCAATAGATTTGTATTCACGTGCTAGAGGGTTCAACACTTCCACAACCTATTTACATAATTTCCGCTAATCAGAACAAACGGTAGAATACCATGATGCCGGTGGCGGAGCCACCTTATGCGAAGGTCACACTGTTTAGCTAGGTCAAAAGTTTATTTTTATACAGATATACTATATGTTGAATCCCCTTATGATTACTTATTTATATTATGACATCCTTTAGTGAAATTTTTGGCTCCGGTACTGCATGACGAGCAGGAAAATTTGAAACAAGTCTAAAGAGGATACAACAGGAGGAGATGAAAAGGACACTCTACTTGACAAGCTAAGAAATCAAGAAATAAGAGTGCTACAAATTTGTATGTAAACCTAGAAAAGACAGTGAATGTTGTATTTACCCAAGTTCAATTAAAGATAGGAAATTAATTTCAAAGACAAACCTTTTCATGCAGCAGCATGATTGTAAGTACATCTTGCCGAGCTCGCCAATCACAGTATTGTAGATCATATCTAGCAACTTCTAAAGCTTGATTTGCATCCAAGAATTTTCCTTTAATTTGTGGAACTTTAGACCTTGGATCTTCCACATTAAAGAGTGTCAACCAGGAACTTTTCTTATCTGGCATCCCACCCTCCTCCCCATATACTGCAAACACTCCAAAGCTGCCTTTGACATACTGAGGATGAAAAAGATGCAAAACCAGTCAACAATTGTGAAAATGCAAGTGACGTATGACTCTCCATACTAAAATGACTTAAAGTACTACTACAACAACAACGCCTCAGTCTCAAACAAGTTGGAGTAGGCTATATAAATCCTCACTTCGTCATTTAAGCTCAACGCATGTCATCATCTACCAAATAAATTAGTACTGATCACACGACGCAGAGCTTATTCTTGCATATAGTCCCCCTTGGACAATCAAATAAATTTCAACTATAGTGAAGAATCACAGCCACTAGAGTGAAGTGTAGCAACCTATGTAAAAAAATTTACTACCATCCAAAAGATCACTAGTCAAAATTATTCCACTTTAGGAACTAAACATATTTCAATTTACCAGCTATCAACCAAATAAAGATCATGATCCTATCCGTTGTGAAATCTCTATATAGATAACCAACATCAAGAAATGATTTTTGTTTTCCTTTTTCACCACAATTTCAAAAGGGTCTCTAGAAACAGGCTTAATTAAGATAAAGAAGCAAACTTTTCAATGTTTTGCAAAATACCCTAAATGAATGAATAAAAGGAAAAAGAAAGCAAAGGTACCTTTCTAGTATAAGACTTAGTAGAGCGGCACAAAGAGAAAGGAAGAGAAAGAGCAGTAGTAATGGCTGTCATGGCAGAGCTCAAAATTAAAAGATATTTGTTTTAGTTTTCTCCACTTATATTCAAGAAACAACGACAGCAAGAAGAAGAGAGAAAAGTTGGTGTCATTTTCTGAGAGGGAAAGATTGTCTTAAGGTTTGTTGATAAGGGGTTGGCGTTCTGCGCAATCCCCATTGACCTGCCATGGCTTGCCACGTGGAACCAAGTGGGACCCTTCTATTTCACACGTGGCACTTCGCAAAGAGAAGTTTTATCTCACAATGGACCCCAATCTTACACTTGTGAATTTACAAAAATTTGGGTCCACAAACCTACGAGATAAAAAAGATGCCTTATGCAACTAGTATCAGTTGTATCAGACCCAAAATAAAAATTTTCTTTCTTTGTGTATTTACTACTGCTGCCATTTCAAAAGAGGGATCTTTCTCTATATATCTTGCAGCTGCCAGCATGGATGCTGGGAGATATCTCTTCTTTGATTCTTTTTTATTTTTCCTATTTACTGAACAGTCCTACTTTATGTGGCTGAATATATAAGACCCCTTATTTGGTTGAAATTGAAAAAAAAAAGCAACTATTCAGTCAGGGTCCTAAAGTCAAAATATATTAAAAGGATCTTAAATTTCTTTAATAGAATCCGTATAATAATGAGATACAATACAAACTCCTGAGACTTTGGCTTAGTTGTAAGTGTATAATGCATGGTGTGTAAATTAGGTGCATGACACATGTTGGAACTCTATCGTAAATGAAAATATGATATTACTTGTAAGTGGAAGAAGGTAGAGGGGGCACGGCAATAGTATGCCGACTTTCGAACCTTGCGCCCCATTGCATTTGGGGATTTTCTTAAAAAGATGAACAAAAATGATTGCTTTTTAATGAATAAATCAATAAAATATGGTGAAAAGAAATAGTCAATGCCGAGAAACTGAGTTAAAATGAGAAAGTGAAATCATTAGAAATATAAGAAAAACATGAGTGTACATGGAGGAGAAAAAAATATTAGACCTGATGACGAAGTTAAATACATCAATTAATTAAATGAGAGAGAAACTAATCGTTATTTATCATCAACCGCATAAACTTAATTAAAAAATTTAAACTATTTTATTAATAATAATTACATAAAATATATGTGACATATAGTACTTAAAATTGGGGCCCTTAATATTTTTGGGGCCTAAAGGCAAGAGCTTTATTTGCCTTACCCTTAGGCCGCCCTATATTCAGCTAGGGTACATGAAAATTATTGAGCAAATATCATTTGTAGTCCATCGGGCAAAACAAATTTCATCCAGTAGCCCACAAATTAACACATACAAATCATAGCCTAAAAATGAAACAAGTGCTAGCCGAAAACATTACTAATTCCCTCGCCGGAAATCCAGCTGTCTTCTTCCATACAAATTCCACTAAAATCTGCCAATTACAGAGTCAGCCAACTATGACCATGACTGCTCCTCTCGCTCAATCATCAAGCTTCACAATATATTGATAATTTGTGCCATAATGGTGGAATTTGTGCCATTATTTACAAAGTCCAGAATTACAAAGCGCCAAGTCGAATTGGGAGAACTTCGTACAGGAACATCAGTCGAAACCTAAGGATTTGCTACACAAATAGATTATAACTTTAGTCCTGGTGATGTAAGAAGAGAGTGAAAGTGGGAAAATGTCAGGCATGCAAAGGCTAATTTTTACCGGATTCTTTGTTGGTTTTTTGTGGTTTTTGCCTAATTTGGGGTTGAAATCCGTGATTTTTTAACTTCTAGTACTCACTTTTTTCCTGTGCTTAGTTCAATGTAATGGTGTTGGAACTCAACGTGGCAATGCAAATTTGGAGTTTTAACTTTGCTGTTGAACAGTTGAAGTGAGAGATCAGTGAGTCAGAAAGCTACTGTTGATAGGAATTGACATATTTATCCTTCAGATGTTTTTGGGATCATGAGTACTTGAGTTGTGGGACTAAAGTTATAATCTTTCAATTTAAAATAATAATTATATAAAATAGATAGCCACTATACAAAAATATACAAAATGGACTGTTACTACACAAAAAATATACAAAATAGATAGTCACTATACAAAAATATACAAAATAGATCGTTACTATACAAAAAATATACAAAATAGACTGTCACTATACAAAATAAACTGTTATTATACAAAAAATATACAAAATAGAGTGTCACTATACAAAATAGACTATTACTATACCAAAAATATACAAAATAGAGTGTCACTATACAAAATAGACTGTTACTATACAAAAAATATACAAAATGGACTGTTACTATACAAAAATATACAAAATAGACTGTTATTATACAAAAATATACAAAATAGAGTGTCACTATACAAAATAGACTGTTACTATACAAAAAATATACAAAATAGAGTGTCACTATACAAAATAGACTGTTACTATACAAAAAATATACAAAATGGACCGTTACTATACAAAAATATACAAAATAGATTGTTATTATACAAAAATATACAAAATAGAGTGTCACTATACAAAATAGACTGTTACTATACAAAAAATATACAAAATGGACTGTTACTATACAAAAATATACAAAATAGACTGTTATTATACAAAAATATACAAAATAGAGTGTCACTATACAAAATAGACTGTTACTATACA